GCTCTGTTATACTCCGACGTAACGCGTGGGCGCGTGCAAGCGCGTCACAGCGATGTCACGTCGGCGAAAACCCGACGCTCTATACTCCGACGTCGTGTCGTAACCGACGCGACCGGCGGCGTTCGACGCCGTCTGACCGCCTCGACGCCAAAATGGAGCATGCCGTATTTCGCGCCGGCCGCGCCGGACCAGGATGCATCACGCGCTGACTCCGGCAGCCCTCGCGCGGGAAGCAGACGACGGGAGCACCAGCTGCACCACTCCGTGGTGCGTCATGTTTGAAGAGTCGGACTCGGTCGTCAAGAAGCTGATCGAGGGAATTCGTCCTCATCCGTGTGTCTACGACTCGAGGAAGCTTGAGTACCGCAGACCGTGCGCTTGTCAAAGATGTACCGTATGTACATTGACCGCCTACGCTTGCGGCGCAGGCGGTGCACCAACAGTGCGCGAGTTTTCGTCGTGCAAGGTACGTCCACGCCATCGCTCAAATTGGCGCTCAAGAAGCCCAAGAATTTTCGTCTGCTATTTGGGCTATTTGAAACGAAAAGGAACCGGAAGTGGCGCCCTCCCGCAGGAAACGTGCCCTCGCAGTCAGACTCTGCGCATGCGCCGCGCCGGCGGCTCACCGACGCGCACCGCGGGAGTCGCCAGGGCCGCCGGAGTATAAAGAGGGCGAATTTTTGACGCGCGCGGCGAGGGAGGAAGTGGCCGAGTGGGCTAACGCGTCTCAGCTCGGAGCGTGGAGCGAAAGCTTGCGCTGGGAACCTCCTGGGTTCGATCCCCGCCGCCCCCGCCCGTTTCGATCTGGATGAGTTTCGTACCGGCACGCGTTCGTGTGATCACTACTGCGTGATGCACGTTAAAAATCCCAGGTTAGCGGTTGTACCGCACTGGCTAAATTTCTCATCTACAGCTAAGAGACCGATTACCCGTTGAGGCGCATCTCCATCAAGGCTGTATAAACATAAAGAGCAAGCCAATTTTTTACGCGCGCGGCGTGACTGACGTGACGTAGCCGACTTCGGCCAGCGTTCGCCTGCGCGCGCTGTCAGATATTGCGTACATGTGTAGACAAGAACAGCATCAATTTCGTGAGCAATGACATTTGCTCGCAGATGTTGACTCTAGTACTTCGCAGAAAGGTCTAGTGCTACCGAAACCGCGTAAATCCGATATAATACCCTTTTTAAGTAAAATGCTGTAGCCGCGATTTTTTGTGATGCCGCTGATCAAGCGAACATTGAACGTACTCGTTGGAGCCGTATTCTAGAATCGTGCAGTGTTGCCGGTGCCTGCGTCGTTGAGTGCCCGCCACTGTAGTCACTGAGAAGAGTGAAATCGGTAGGTTGATTATTTCGAACGCCCGGCATTGATCCAGCACGTGCTAGTCGTCTTTTGCCGTGCGTTGGCTAGTACGCGCACGTGCTCGCGGTGGACGAGACGCGGGAGCTTCGTCAAAAGTGGGAAGCTGATGGCGCATTCACACTAGAAGCGGATCCGCGTTCGCTAAGGGGTTGCGAACGCGGTTGTATAAAGATCCAGTTCAATTGCACCCGCATTTGATGACATCGGGTGCGCGTGCAATGGTACTGGATCTTTATAAAACCGCGTTCGCAACCGTTTCCGTACGCGGATTCACTTCCAGTGTGAATGCGCCGTTACTCCGGAGACAAAACAGCTGAATCCTCCCCCCCCCCCCTCCCCTCCTGGCGCTCTCACCTTGCCACTGACAATGCAGGCTGGCGGATTCCGAAGCTTTCTCCTCAGATTCAACGGCGTTTTGGGAAACAAAATGACACAATCTTGATTATGGTGACTAAATCCTGGGAGCTCGGAATGTATCCCGCACGTATCACTCACTCCTTTTCTTTTTTTTTTGTGTGTGTAGCACTTCTGGTGTGCTACTGGTTCATGACGTTCGTTCTCATAAAAAAAAGAAAAAACATTAAAACACATTCTGCATTAAAAAAAAAAAAAAAAAAAAGCTGTCAAAAAGAGAGATGAAAAGAGAGGAGACCCGCAGTACGGGCTGGCTCTGGGTCCCTTACCGACGCTGCACGCCAACTCAGCTCCTGAAATCCGTTGTTTTCTTCGGAGCTAGTTTCAAACTGCAGACCGCTATTTCTATATACAAATGCAAAGGAGAAAGCCGGTAAATTCTTCAATTATGTTTGCTGCCCCCTTTATCTAAACTGGGTGCGTCGAATGAGAACAATTGAAGATAAACAATCAGGGTTACATCGGTTCAGCATAGTATTGTAAACTCGGACTTGAAGTTCAATAATACATCTATACATTACACCATCACGTATAGAAGGTAAATCATAATTTTGAAACTTCTTTGGATGGATGCTTGGGCGCTTTGGGTAGTCATCGTGTAGGAAATAGCGCAAAATTAAATTCACTCGCACGAAAAATACACGCACACTGGAAAACGTTAACACCTTACCAAGAACTATTATACGCTGCACACACACACACAAAATACATAGAACCCCATTCACTCCTTGCTCAGAAGGATAGGTTTATTTCTTTCCCCTTTCATGCGGCAAACAGTACGTTGAACAAGCTGTAGGATGGGTAAATGACCGATTAAGAGAACTTAACAACAACATCCGAATAGCTAGCTCAGGACTTTTGGGCATTCACTGCCGTGACTGTGGGTGCACCGTGGACTTAAAAAATAGCACCGCAATTGGAAAGAACTATCACCGATTAACACGTGAGATAATTGACGCAGTTAACATTATGAAAAAGAGTCATACTTGTGTTATTGGTCCGTCAATTGCATTTATCGGCGAGCATTTTGATAGTTCGCTTTCGTTCAGTTACCACGTCAGCCAGATTGTTTGCACCACAGTAAGATTGCTGAGAATGATAACTCGCATAACTCGACATTTTTTGTGTCATGCTTGCTTGCTCCGCTTGTTTTGCTCCCTTATCAGGTCTAGATTGGAATTAGGTTCGATAGTGTGGAATTCTCTTAGTGCACATGATGAAGCACAAATAGAGTCGGTTCAAAGACGCCTGGCACGCATAGCTTATGATATACATTTTGCCAGAAGACATTTTTATAATTATGAACTTCTACTCAGGCTAAATTAGGGTTTCAAGCTTTATCCGCCAAAAGGATCACGCGGGATATAGTATTTTTGTACAGAGTAATTCATATTGATATAGATTCCGAGCGTTTTGCAAAGTTAATTTTAATGTTTTGGCTCGTTTTAATAGGAGTGCTTGTACTTTTTACACTCAGAACAATCTAATGTCATTGCCTTTATTTAGAATGCAGATATCTGTCAATAATTTAGGAAATGAAAACTTAGACATTTTAGAGCGCAGCTCTTAGGGGCCCGTTTCCGGCTTGAGCGGCGTCGCCGTCACCGTCGGCGTAACCGCGAGGTCACGTGACCCCCCCCCCCCCCAAGGCCACGTGACCCCCCTCAGGTCACGTGAGCCCCCTGAAGCCACGTGACCCCCCTGAGGTCACGTGACCCCCTGAAGTCACGTGACCCCCCTCAGGTCACGTGAACCCCCTGAAGCCACGTGACCCCCCTGAGGTCACGTGACCCCCCCCTGACGTCACATGACCCCTGCCTGAGGTCACGTGACCTCAAGGAGTCGCCAAGCTTCCGACAGTCGATCCTCGTATGATGATCAACTGTCGGACGCCATTTTGATGATCGCCATTGTGATCATCGTATGATCACAATGGCGGTTAGTTGGTTTTACGGTGCTGCTTTACTCACGCGCGAAGTTTGCTGTCAGCTGCCTCATATTGCTTCACCGGTCAGGTGTATGATTGATGGCCTCGTTGGGGCCTTTACTGCCATTCTACAGCGATGATATATGCGACGTTGTGTACTTTCAGCGAATCGTTCCGAAGGCTGGTGGAGTTTTTAAATATTATAGTATTTCATAGAGTAAGAACGGTAGGGCGAGTCTTTCGAACGCAGGGCCTCCAGCACGGCGGAAGGCATGCGTTCTATGCCTTCTACCATGCTTTGGCTACGTGCCCACGCGCTATGTGCACAAGACGCCCAAGAACTGTCAAAGACTTGACGCTCGCTCTGGAGACGGGACAACTGAAGCTCGTCCCTGCCGCTCTCTTATCTTAAGTGACTATAACAAGCAGTCTTTTTTTTATTTGTAATATATTATGTATTCGTATTCTTTATTTCGAATGACTATTTGATATAATGTGTACGTTTTATTTTAAAGGTAAAAATCTACTATTTTTATTTTCCTTTCAGAGCCGAGATGTTACCATCGCACCAAAAATGGCAAAATCACTGCACCTAACGCGGCTACGTAGGTTTGAATATAACCATGACCAGCGCAGTAAGCCAATGTAAATTTTTCTAATCATTTAGTTTCATGGCGAGTTGTGTGATAGTGCAAATTGATCAAATACTGTAAAACAAGCAGGAAAATTCACACCTGCAGAAAAAAAGCTCGCAATATCAGAGAAAGTGCATAGGTCAGGTTAGTTTTACCATGTAAAATTTTGAAAACGTAGTTTTTTTTTTTTTTTTTAGACCATTGAGAGCAATAGACTTGAAATTGTAAACGACGGGGGGTTTCGCAGACGATCGGGTTAGTGGCGCTATTAATTTGTGCCGCCATCTCCCGACACGCGCCGGAAGCAGATGATGCACTCTGTTGTCTGCTCGCTTTGCCTATTGGGAAGTAGCGCCGTGAGTTAATAGCGTCTAAAGCCCCTCTATACTGGAAATAGCGCAGAGCCCTCTTTCCGTTCAAAATCTCTCGCAGTACACGCACCTAACGGCTGTTGTAAACTTGGTCTCGGCTTCGCGTTTAGGCGCTTCATTTCACTACATGGCTACAGGCATGGATGGCTGCTCTTGAAATCCTCAGTCCGTGGGTACCCAATCGGGGCCCTCTGTTTTAGGGCTCACAACTTCCTATGAAATGAAATGTTAGCATTGTGACCGGCATCATCCATTCGGGTACACTCCGTTTTCTGCCCTATGCGTTAGATGGCGCCACCAGCCCGAAAGGCGCTGCAGAGCGAGCAGTTCAAGATGGCGTCTCCCAGCTTGCGCGCACGTTTTCGTCCACGCGGTGAGTAAATTTTTCTTACCTTGTCCTGTTGTGTTTCTGTGCAATTTTGTAGCTACAGGAACGATCTAGGGACACTAGAGCTTTTGCTGGGGCATGTTTTAGGTCGATTTCACGAAGAACTGTGATTCTGACACAGGATTAAGTTGTAGGTACCCGTTTGGGTATTTTTGGACTCAGTTGTGCTTTTCTGAATTACAGACAAGTATCTGACTGATGACGAAATCCAAGCCCTTTTGGAGCAGAGTGATGCTGATTTGTCGGATTGTGATGACTCGGAGTGGCCCGTTAACGACGCCAGAGACTCGGATACATCAGAGGAAGAAATCGACAGCTCCGATGACAATGGTCGCCCAGTCGGCCAGCCATCATCCCAACGGTGCTTGTGGAAAACAAAAGCGTAAGAATTTTTTTCTTCTATTTGTCCAGACACTTTGAATTGAATATCAAATATTGTATCTATCTAAAGACGGAGTTGCAGGTTTGTTATCAATAATTATGTTTTTAAATTCTGTCCAGGTTCAAAAGTGTGACCATCCAAGATAATGCTGCAGAGATGAGCACGGAGGAACCAAAGTCGCCGTACACTTATTTCTCAAGATATTTCCCAGGGAACTTTTGGGATGAATGTGCACATCAAACGAAGCTGTATTCCGTTCAAGAAAGGGCGGGTAGATCTGTGAAGACCATTGCGAAAGAGCTTAGGACTTTTGCAGGCATCCACATTTTCATGGGGATACTGAAGATACCACGGGTACGCATGTACTGGTCGCACCTGCTGAGTGTGGACATAATTACGGACGCAATGTCACGGGACAGGTTTTTCGAGCTACGAAGCCACCTACACTTTGCAGACAGGCTGTCCGTGACAGAAGAAGAAAAGAAAGAGAACAGGCTCTTCCTCGTCAAGCCAGTCATCGATTGTTTCAGGAAAGCGTGCCTTGAGCTTCCACGCTCAAAAGAACTGTGCGTAGACGAGCAGATGATCCCTTTTACTGGCAGGTGCTCCATGCGCCAGTGCGTGCCAAGCAAACCCAACCCAGTTGGCCTAAAGAATTTCGTGTTGGCCGCGTCTGATGGTCTGGTTTTAGACTTTATGATATACGTCGGGAAAGGGACAGTTCCTGATGCAGACATGAAAGAGCTCGGCCTTGGAGGAGGCGTCGTAAAAAGACTTGTTGAGACTATCACCAGAGATGAGGCAACATTTCTCTTCACCGATAGATATTTCACAGGAGTGAAAGTGGCTGATTTTCTGCTTGACAACAACATTTTCCTCACGGGGACCATCATGGCAAACCGTACCAACGGTGAAGCAGCAAGAATGCCGAATGACAGATCAATGAAGCGGGGTGAATCACATTGCAGAGTCCGGAGCGATGACAAGCTCTGTCTAGTGAAATGGAAAGACAACAAGTCAGTCCTTCTGTTGTCTACTGCCTTCGGCACTGTGCCAGAGGGTAAATGCCGGAGGTGGTCAAAAGACGAAAAGAAGAGAGTCGAAGTCACACAGCCCGACATTGTAGACAAATACAACCAGCACATGGGCGGAGTTGACCTCATTGACCGCTATGTTGCATACTATCGAATCACTGTTCGCAGTAGGAAATGGACGGTCCGCGTTTTCACAGACTTCCTGGACATGGCATGCTGCAACAGTTGGATAGAGTACCAGAGGGACTGCGACAACGCCATGGTTCTCAAAAAGGACAGACTGGATCTGCTGCACTTCAAAGCAGTTATAGCTAATGTGCTCATACAAGCAGAGTCTTCCACTGCAAGAGGGTCTCGAGAAAACGCACAAATCGACCAAGAACCGACTGCAAAGAAGAGGACCAAGGTAATTCCACTACCTCCGAATGAAGTACGGTACGACATGACCGGCCATTTTCCTGAGCATGTTAAGCTCAAGTTCCAGATGAAGTGCCGAAATCCTCATTGCAACGGAAAATCGAGAGTGAAATGCACAAAATGCCACGTTTTTCTTTGCCTACAGAACAAAAACTGTTTCCTGGACTTCCACAACCGTTAAGTCCCACAGTACCCCCTTGGGTACCAAGAAGCTCAGCACTATCCCTTTGTGTTTTTGAATAGTTACTTTTTTATATGTTTATTTGCATCATTTGACACGCAATAAACAAGTTTCAAACACATTGCTAAAAAATTGCCGTCTCGGGACTGAGGAGGATAACTAATTTTAGAAAAAAAGAACCCGAGAGTGGCAAAAAGTTGAAGGACAACACAACACACATAGTCTCAAACGCAGCAGAATTTTTTCCACTGACCTTTGTGTTTATATAGGATTTTACTGCCGCCATAAACCAAAAGAAAGGAGGAGGAAACCAAAAACACTCTTCACGCAAACGCATGACACCGCAAAGAATTTGGAACAAAGCTGAAAGAAGTTGGGTCTAACCTTTACCATTCACCCGAAAATCCTGCTAAGACAAACTAAGCACACTAGAATCCTTCTTTCCCGGAACAAACCAACCGGACCGTGGGCAAAAGCCTTGAACTTCTAAACACCCAAACGAACGAAAAACAAAAAGAAAGGACACAAAAAGATAGACCGATAGGTTCAAAACAACAGGACCGTGGGCAAAACTTCGAACAACAAAACAAAACATCAAAACGAAGACAAAGCAAAAAATGGACGCAAAAAGCTAGACGCCTATGGCTAACAAAAGACCATGCTGACACAGAGGCTGGCGGGTGACCTTGCTCAAAACAATACAAGGCGACCAAATTTGTAGAAATATTCTTAACTCCGTATCTAAACTTAACTAAATTAGCCTGATTAACAGGGTAACTAGGTTAGGCTATGAATAGCCAAATTGGGCTAGTTATTTGATAGATTTGTCGTCAAAATTTGGCGTTTGGCTATGAGGCTACGTTCGGCTATTTTGGGGCTATGTCCAATTTTTGCGGGATTTCCGTGAAAGTGTCCTTTTTCCCTCTGTATAGAGGCCCGTGAGGCAGGACCCCGAAGGGGGGGGGGGGGGGGGGGGGAAGAGGGGGGTTGCGTGGAGACAAAACACAGGGAGGCTTTGTTGTACGCAGTCGAGGTCATAAGACCTCGAGTTCGCAAAAATTTGAGGGGAAAGGTAATTCATGCTGGACAGAATAGCGACGTTTACTTCCGGGTCATATATGCAGAAGCACCTCACACGAATCCTTGTCACCGTTCACGGCTTCGACTGAAAAGACTACTCTTCGTGAAATGGCGCAAGTTTTAATAGCATGCATCAAAAGCGTCTTGAAATGACTTCCGTCAAACATGCAGCTTTTGAGCGATTTGCGGCTACTGCAGCCGAGCAGCATTTTCACCTTTTATAGACCTTTTCATTTGAGTAGTTGGCTGACCGTCGGGTAGAGGGCGCTGGTGCACTCGCCGCCATAAGGTTGCTTCAATTTGTTTGGTTTCGGTTTGTACGCGCACGCCATTGCGTTGCTGTTTCATGCCGTTTTCGATTTTTGTGATGCAAAGTTTTTTTTTTGTGGCACGCAACGAATGGCACGATGGTACTGATCACTTGAACAACCACGAGGTGGTTTCGAGTCTAAATTGCGAGCACTTTCCTGAACACCAGATGCGTCCGATTACGTCCAATCGTCAATTTCGGCCAGGTTCGGTGATGTAACAACTGCACTAATGCAAAGAGAGGATTACCATCGGCCACGGCTGTAACCGCAAAAAATATTTCCTCGAAAAAAAAAAATATCAGGAGAAGCTTTGGCCACGTGCTTTTTGCCTGCCGCCGGGCTTTGGCTGCGCGTGCGCCGAGTGATATGAAAGGGCTCGAGCTCAAGTCAGAGATTCGACTGCTCGTCTTATATTGTAACAGACTATAATGCATGAGTTCTTAGTGAAGAAGCAGGTCCACAACATGATTAACAACGGGCTGAATCAGGAAAAGTATATGAAGTGACGACAAGTTTACTGTTTGGGTTTCGTAGACCAACTTTTTGTGAACTTCGCAGTCTGAAGAAGTCGCCTATAATGACGTAGATAATATAAAAAAGTGTTGTTTCCTTGGCCTGTCTTATTTAAATAAATTAAGTTCTCGAGAAATATTTTACTAGACCAACCTAGGTTGACTAGCAAATTTATTTAGCTAAAGTACCAATTAAAAAGATTTCACAGTATTGGCCTTGTGAAATAGACTATTTGTTATATGAAAATATGCTTCCGACGTTCTGAAAGTATGAGAGACAAACGTCACTTATCTGCAGATGGATTCTTCTCGGCGTCACAAATTCTGCACCCTAGGCACCCTCAAGCTGTCTGTGATAGTTTCGTACGCGGAAAGTCAAAACCTTTCTGCTGAAATGAATTGACTGTATTGAACTGGTTATATTAAGAAATCATTTAATAGCTAAAAGACTGTAGAAATGGGACTAATAAAAAACGGCATACAGTTTCTTGGAATCAATAAATAAACCGATCGAGCGAATGTTTATATAGCAAAAACATTTAGTAACGTCAAGCAGAGTGTGATATTGTAAATAAACAAATTGCCTGATGTTGACGCAAATCAGATAAAAAAATATTCAAATTAAACGTTTGTTGCCTATCTTCTCCACCGAGTTCACCTATGTATTCAAAAGCCGCTATTTTCGATTTGTTATAAATACAAAACATGATGCTTTCAGGAAACACACGCGGTTATTTACAGTGAGCATTTTGTCATTTTCCTTGAGATCCCCCCCCTTCCTAAATATGCAATCATATATATATTTACATGGTGCTTCCTATTGCGAATGTTCCGCCTCTATTAGTAAGCAAACTTGAGTTCTCATATGACATAAGTTATTGACCTTTGAACCCTCCTGCTGTCTTAGAGTCATATATGTGCTCAATGTGCGTGAGCGTTAACGCTGATTCATGTGCCCATATAGCCTCATCACACGTAGCCGGCAGATCGACGGTAAAAATAGTCAAAATGTGGTAGAAAATTAACTGCAGAAATTGTAAACATAATGATGTAATGCAATTACATGATAAATTTGTTAGTCTCGGACGACATTTCCAGGAGTGAGGTAAGAAACACGGTGAAGCGCAATGAAAAACACGAATTCAACGCATCCGCCAAGACGCGCAGTAGGAGCGGAGGGGAGAGTGGAGCGACGAGTTGAAGCAACTTAATGGCGGCCGCATCACGTGATTCCAAGATGGCAGCGCCCAAGCGGCGGAGGGTGAAAAGGTCTATACTGATGTCATCTGTCACAAACATGGAATCATACCACATGCCTCTCCCGACGAATATAAAGAGTTGTTATGAGGAGTGCGTAGTAACATTTAGGATGAACGTTGAAGCTGCGAAAAACAGTGCAGGAGCGAGAAGGTTTCCGCTGTTGTCACAAGTCGTCATCTCTCTCCTGACCCTTCCAATGTCAAATGTCGCTGCGGAGCGTGTCTTCAGTCAGGTGTCTCGGACGAAAACAGATTTCCGCAACAGGATGTCTCAAGAAACCCTGGAGAGAATCCTTAATGTGAAGTTTTTTTCTTTGTGAAAAAAGAGTGTTACAGTCATTTTAAGCCTTCCGAGAAATATTTCGCTCGGTTCAACTCTAGGCACTGTACGGAGCTAGCACGAGTGGTACAAGTGCTTTTTTGATAATATTGTTCATGGCATGAGGCTCTCCAGACGTGTCCAACTGAGCTCTTTGTTATATTACTTGAAATAAAACTGTTTGTTTTCAAAGTAGCTTCTTCTAATATTTCTACATTGGGGGCACATTTTAAAATAAAGAAAAATTCGGTCGGGCATGATTATCAACAGAAAAAAACGCTCACAAAATATTCATTTGAACAATTTGCGATTGGTTTCTTTTCAATAGCCCTGTTTCCTACTATCACCTTGGTAGCTCCTTTTTTACTTGATGTTAGTTGTCAAAAAAACCTTCGTGGCGAATATTTAATAAAGTTTTGCATCTTAAGATTGAAGAAGGAGAATTTCGATGCCTTTACTTTTGCTTTAAGTTCCGTACCTAGCGTCAGTATTTTAGCCTCTAGTAAACCAATTATTTTCCAACGCACTTTTGTTCTACACCTGGTTAAGCGACTTTTTTGATGGATTATGTCCCTTGTAATTCAGTGACTATTTAATTGCGCGTCTTTACTTTTATGAATGCACTCTGGTACAGTCCTTGTAAAATTAACCGCAGCTCGTCCACTCCAATCAGGGGGTTCCTAGCAAAGTCCTCAAATGTATCTTAGTTAAAGCCTTGTTGATCAATAATTAATTAGAAATTAGCTTTCTTAAATCTTCTTCATTAAGATATTTCCGTTTTCTTAAGCTAGAGCATCCAACGATAGTTCGAAGTGTACCATACTCTCATCTGAAATTCCCTTGTAAACCTTGAAATCGTGTCTGTGACGTGAGAGGATCTGACTGAGGAATTTCAAATCTATTAGAGATCGTGATTCCCCTTGTACCTTAGTATGCTTTTTAACAACCTGTGTCAAGTTGTGTGAGAAGGCCAAATCCAGAAATTCGTCAGAGAACGACACTTCACTGTCCCCAGTTCCTAGTGTAGCCCAGCCTACCCCACCGAGATTGATATCTCCCATCAAAATAATTTTCTTAAAGCTTACTTTTAGGGAAAAAAATTGATTCAACTTCTTAAAATATTCAATACACATTTGTGGTGATGCGATACACTGCACCTACGATTAATTCACTGTTTTTCAACATGGTCCTTCACCAAACATTATCAAAACCTGGAGCACCTTTCATTTCGAAAGCGATCAGGGACGATATGACTATTAGGGCAACACCTCCTCCTTTACTTCTTTTGTCTTTTTGAAAAATATTATAACTAGGGGGTACTATCTTATTGTCTAACCCTCATGAATCAAGCCAGGTCTCAGCAATAGCTACTATGCTGGGGTCATGATCCATTAAGATGTGTTCTAGCTGAAGCGTTTTTTTGGCAATGCTTCGAGCAATAAGGTTGATCTGTAGGAGGTTTTTTGTTTTTTGTGAATTAAGTTCACGTCATTGTTCAGAATGCAATACATTGCACGGT